TGTTAATGCGTGATAAAATAACAGACACCAACTCCATTTTGATTGCACGCCATATTTTATGGTATAAAACAAAGACGACTTGACCTAAAAGTAAATAGCGAGAAAATAAATAAGAACCATAAATCAAGGGTCATGATGACTCACAACATTGTTAAATTAGTGAGTTTAAGTAAACTCATTATAAAAATATAAATTTAAAATATAGATTTAAATCATAAACTCATAAAAGTTTACTTCAATTAATAAATACTCTTTAAAAGTATATAATTAAATAATTAAAATATAAAATATAATCATAATTTAATTTAAATATATTGCAAATATAAATCATTGAAATTAAAGCTGTTTACGTTCATATATTATCATATTCAATATAGAAATTTTAAAATTGGGTAATTTATTGTTGATATTTTTTGTTTTCTTTTTAGTAATATTAGTTTTTTTAGTTGTATTTTTCATTGAACTAGATCCTATCACTTATATGAATCAAATTCTACATAATATATACATATCTTGCTCAATGAGTTTAATCAAGTTTTATTAAATTTGAGTTCATAAGCAAGTTAACAGAATTTTATAAACTAGAAACACAAAAACAGTAAACTTGTAAAGTTAATTTGAGAGTTTGAGAGCAATGATGATTCTTATTCTGCTCCTAATCAGTTTTAATTTTTGCGCAAATCACTTTCAATTAGTCCAATACTTCTATTAGATGAATGTTGTATTTTTCTATTTTCGAATTTATATATTTTTATCAAATACTTAAGTAAATGTTTCAAATTTAATTTTGATAAAAATATCTCAGTATTTTCATATAATACTAAAGTTTCGATTCTATTAAATAGCATATTCTTACAAGATATTTATTCAAAATTTCATCTGAATAGTCGACACTCAACAAGGTTTACTTTGTTTACTTGAAGAATAAGCCCAAGAGCACAAGATATCAAAGAAATCGCGAAGTCCGGGAGCAAGCTGGCAGGATGCAAGATAATTTAAGAGAAGATTACGTACAGGTTTTATAAAGCAAGCATGCATGCATGCGCGCGCGCCCACACATATATATAAGTTTTGTGAAATTTAAAAACTATATTCAAGAATTACTTATAAATTATCATATAATCCTTATTCCACTGTTCTTTTCAATGTCATGTCTAGTACAAAGCTTGAAATAAGCTTAAAATAATTACTTCAAGCTACATGCACAAATAAAAATCTATCTTGGATATTGCCTGTCTTCAAGGAAACAAATTGTTAATATTTTAAAAAATTGTTAATAAGCACATGTCTTCTTAAAACTTCATTCTTTTTGGGGTGTTTGGCAACAAACTCTTCTTCCTTTTTGGTTGGTCCAAGACAATCATGGAAAAATAATACATTCACATTTGATAGTCACTTGAGACTTGAGAGTAAGATTAAATGACATGCACAACACTTTTTACAAGTTAATATCCATGTGATGACTTTGTAAACCTTTCTTCACGCCATGTTGATTGATCCATCTATTGTTGACAAAGTATCAAGTACAAGCACATTTATAAATGTTCTACTTTGGTATATAAGAAGTGTTTTATATATTTTGTTTTTGAATCAGAGGTGTAAGCACTCATAGACTAGGATTATACACGAGATTGAACTCGAAACCTCTTATTTACAGGGGAGCTTATGTGCCACTCAACGAGTGCGAGATAACTCAATTTAAAAATTAATAAATTAAAAAACACGTGATAATTTTAAAAAAGGTAGAGGGGCAAAAATGCCCACAAAAGTGGTTAGCCAGGAGCACTTAATATCCTAAAGTGAGGAAAATGGCAAAAATACTCATACCGTTATATGGATAGGTGTAAAAGTGACCAAACCGTTAACTTTGACTTAACGTCGTTAACTTTAATTGTTAAATATTGACTGTACATGTCACATGTTAATTTTTGCTGATATGAACTAATAAAGGGGCAAAAATGCCATGAAGTCATCGCCTGGGAGCAAAAATACCCATAACATTATTATAGTTGGTGTAAAAGTACCAATCTATCCAATCTTTTAAATGTTGATCGTTCAAATAACACTAAAGCAAAAGTTGATCATTTTTTGCTGATATAGACAAAAAAATTCCTCGATGAATTTTTACGAATATTGATCGATCATTGTTTAAGTACTCATAATGTTACTTTAGTAGATGCAATAGTGATCAATCTGTCAAAATCAATATCACATGATTTCTTTCTATTGCCACATATCTCCCTTCCTTCCTTTCTCCCTCTCTATCCATTTTTCTTGTCTGTAAAACTTAAGATTCAATATAGTAAGATAGGTTGTACAAAATCGAAGATCGAGACTGAGCACATTTAGCTTAAGAACATTGTCACAACCTTAAACAATTGTATTTATGAAAAGTTCAAAATTTTTAAATGATTTTTGCCATTGCTGCAAAGAAATATGTTATTTAATTTGATATTTAGTTAAAATAATATTTTTCCACATGATATTCATAAAATGATCAATTAACCTTCAGAGAATTATATATAAGAATTTTTTTATCTATATCAGCAAAAAAATGGTCAACTTTTTGCTTAAGTGTCAATTAAGTGGTCAACGTTTAAGAAATTAGATGGATTGGTACTTTTGCACCAACTCTAATAATGTTATAGGTATTTTTGCTCTTGGTTGACAATTTCATAGATATTTTTGCCCTTTTATTAATTCACATCAGCAATGACTGACGCGTCACATACACAGTCAGTATTTAATAGTTAAAGTTTACAGCGTTAGGTTAAAGTTAACGATTTAATCACTTTTACACTTATCTGTATAACGTTATGAATATTTTTATCATTTTTCTCACTTTAAGATATCAAGTACTAGTAGCTAACTACTTTGCAAGTATTTTTGCCCATTTACCCAATATTTTATAAGAGAGCAAAATCTCCTTTTGTCCATTGACCGTTTAGTCTACCGTTATCTAATAACTTGTCATTTTGTGGGGCGCAAGAAGATTGACAAGTCAAATTTTCCAAGAAGCGCTCGCACCTCGCTGGCCTGCCATTTTCACCTCCCTTTCCCAGTACTCCTTCAGCGCCATCTCTGGGGTCCTTGCCAGTCATGTCGGCACCCTCCAACTTGCCGCCTTCTCCTTCAAAAACTCTGTCATCACCAGCTTCTGCTTCAGCTTCATAGTTAAAATCTAGAATTGATTAAAGCAACAAAGAGAAGCATTGAAGGGAAAGGGAAGGGGTGACAAATTTTCAAAAGAAGGGGGAGAGAGAAGGATGAAATGAGAAGAGATCATAATAGAGAAAAGGAATGGCCACCGATTATGAACACGATATAGGAGTTAAGCCACCCTCGGATATGTGCAGCAAAACTAAATGTCAATGGTTCGTATGAGGAAAGGGAAGAATCGTCACTCCCTCTTGCATCTAATGGAGCCGATACTCTCTGACTCTGAATCTGTTGTACATCTTCGCGAGGCAAAAGTCCTGAAAGCGATAGGTAGAAGACGACGATCATGAACGTGGCAAGGCTGTTCACGCTTTGGATGATCCCGTAGATATTTACGTATGCAAAGTACTTTTCGATCCAGAAGTTCTTGCAGGTGCCAAGCAGAATCATTCTGACAGTAGCGATGCTCGGTCAATTAGTTTACATCTTCGTCGGGACGATGGCTCTTCCTTCCAAGAGAATCTACGGAGTTTGCTTCGCCTCTCTCTTGCCTACGTGTTATGCTTTAGTTCGAAGCCAATTCAAACTTCACCAGTTGGAAGCCAAGTCAGATTTTTCTGGGGCCCACGCAGTAGCAAATCAGCAGATAACGTGAGACTAAACAGCCAATTGATAAAAGGATATTTTTTCTTCCTTAAAAAATATTTCAAAAAAAAAATTATCCCACTTAAAAATATAGAGTACCCAACACTTTTAAAAAATAAATATAAAAGTAAATTTAGACTTTAATCCCATAGTTTTTTTTTTTGTAATTTTAAAAATAATAATTTGACTAAAGCACTTGGGTGCCCAAGTTAACAAGTTTGGATTAAAAAAATTTTCAATTCAAATAAAATAATTTTATAATCCTTTTATAGTTAAATTCCCAACTTCATTAAAATGATTTCAATTTTCAACATTGACGAATTTTAAATTGATCAATTGCAAGTTTAAGAGTAAAAACGTTTTCAACTCAAATAAAGTAATATCATTAATCCCTTTCAACTAAATTTTCAATAAAATTAAAGTAATTTCAACACTAGCAAATTTTAAGTTGGCTAATTGCAAGTGTAGGAGTACAAAATTTTTTGACTCAAATAAAGTAATTTTATAACTCCTTTAACTAAATTTCAATCCCAATTAAAGCAATTTTAGTGCTAAAAAATTTTAAGTTAGTTAATTGCAAGTTTGAAAATAAAAACTTTCCTAACTCAAAGTGATGTCAAAGCTCATTTCAACTAAATTTCTAACTCAATTAGAGTAATTTTAGTACTAGTAAATTTTAAATTAGTATTTTAGTCAACGTATTGATTTTAAAACTACAAAAAGGACCAAAGTCCTAAAATTTAATTTCATAATTTTTGTGATCCTGATTGGTTATTTACGATATTTGAGACTCCTTGTTTACAATTTTCCTAATTTTTTCCCTATTAAATATTTAAAATAATTGAGATTTGAGAAATGAGAATTCGAAGTTCACTGCTGCTCCTCGGTCCCACAAAAAAAAAAAAAAAAGTTCACCCGCTGCTCAAACCAGCCCGGAGAGAAATTCACGGCTCTCCAACTTTGACTGCCACGGATTATCACTCTAGTCAACACCGCAAAATTAACATCTTCAACACATCCTTGCAATTCTTGATGTGTTTTGTTTTGTTTTGCCTTTTTTTTTTTGACCGAATTGCGATTCTCCATGTTTGAAAGAACACGATCAGATGAAGACAAGCATCCATAATATAGTGATATTATAATCAGTACACTTGACCTAAATAAACCAACTTGGGAAACACGCATAATATAGTGATATTATAATCAATACACTGTCCTTAAAATAAACCAACTTATTTTGGTGGTTTCCAAAGTCTCGAGTTTGGCGGATCTATCATATATAACTTGACACACTATGCATGATAACCTACTCCATTACCTCTGCTTCTAACAGAGTCTTGCAATACAGAGAAAGAGAGAGAAAGCAGAAGACAAATGGATTCTACAGAAAGAGGAGGATCAAAGCCCCACGTTGTGATCACTCCCTTTCCAATTCAAAGCCATTTGAACACCTTCTTGAATTTGGCCAAACTACTTCATTCGAGAGGCTTTCACATAACATATGTTCACACTGAGTACAACCATAAACGCTTGCTTAACTCGAAAGGTCCTCGAGCTCTCGAGGGTCTCCCTGATTTTCGCTTTGAAACCATCCCTGATGGCCTTCCTTATACTGAAGCAAACACTACCCAACATTTACCTTCTTTATGTGAATCTACCTCAAAGAATTGCCTCCCCTATTTTACAAATCTTCTCAAGAGGCTTCAAGAGTCTGCCTCTGAGGGCCTTGTGCCTCCTGTTACTTCCTTGATTTCTGATGTTGTCATGGCATTTACTGTTAAAGCTGCTCAAGAATGGGGACTTCCTATTGCTTTGTATTGCCCTATAAGTGCTATCTCTTATTTGGCTAATTGGCACGGTCGCACTCTTCTTGATAAGGGTATCATTCCCTTGAAAGGTAACCCATTGATGATGTCACTCATTCTTATTTCTTTTTTATCTTGTTCTTTTGTGGGTGTGTATAAGCCATTAATGTTATCCACTCTTTGTGTGTGAATGTGTCGTGTCATTTCTTTGGTCTATTCATTAAAATGATGAATCTGCAACAACGTTTTGTTTATTATTGGTGCAGATGAGAGTCAACTGACAGATGGATACTTGGATACTAAACTAGATTGGCTTTCAGGAATGAAAAATATCAGATTGAGAGATCTGCAAAGCTATTTTTATTCACTAGAGCCAAATGATCATCTAATGCTAAACTTTTGTATGAACGAGCTACAAACAGCAAGAGCTGCTCAAGCCATCATTTTCAATACATTCAGTGAGTTCGAAAGCGAGGCGTTGGATACTCTTTCTTCTATCTTTCCTACTATTTACACCATAGGCCCTGTCCCTTTGCTTTTAAATCAAATTCCACATAACCATAACTTAAATTCCATTGGCTCCAATCTTTGGAAAGAAGAGACTCATTGCATCCAATGGCTAGAATCCAAGAAACCTAAGTCCGTAATTTATGTTAATTTTGGAAGCGTGACGGTTATGACTCTAGAACAACTACATGAGTTTTCTTGGGGATTAGCCAACAGCAAGAAATACTTCTTGTGGATAATAAGGCCTGATCTTGTGAAGGAAGGCTCAGTGTCTCCCGAGTTTCTGAGTGAGACCAAAGAAAGAGGCCTCATAGCCAATTGGTGTGAACAAGAGAAAGTGTTAAATCATCCTTCAATTGGAGGGTTTTTAACGCATTGTGGATGGAATTCCATAATAGAGAGTGTATGTGCAGGGGTTCCAATGGCTTGTTGGCCTTTTTATGGAGACCAGCAAACTAACTGCAGGTATGCTTGCATGGAGTGGGGAATTGGGGTTGAGATTGACATTAACGTGAAGAGGCAAGTGGTGGAGAGTCTTGTGAACGAGTTGATGGAAGGAGAGAAAGGGAGTGAAATGAGACAAAAGGTTCTAGAATGGCAAAAAATTTCAAACGAGGCAATTAAATTTGGTGGCTCTTCTTACGTCAACTTGGAAAATTTGATTAGTCAAGTGTTGATCAACAGCAAAAACTAAGTTGTTACGTGAAAATTTTAATTCTTTTGCGTATCTCAATTCATAGTTTCTTTTTTTTTTGGTTTTCTGCATATGCATTAAAACTCTTCAACAAAATATATTTTTATAGTGTGGATTGGATTTATCAGAGTCATAGAGATAGTATTAGCCCTGATGTAACTTTGAATTTAGTCATATTTTCAATAAAGTTATGGAAGAACCAACGAAGTTATGTTGTAATATGTTTGATTGTGTATTAATTCCCCCTACATTATGAGGAGAGCCATCTTCACTTGTAATCAGGTTTTTCCATTAGTAATTTTAATATTTCTTTCCTTATGGTATCCTCCTCCTGAAACTTCTCTTTCCATTTCTGAAAACTTAAAACCTCATTTAAGTTAAATTTGGTTTAGAAAGTCTACTCTCTAAATTGTTTATAACTATAATCGTTTTAGAAAGTGACATTTAAAAAATATATTTAGGGACTTTTTTTTTTGGATTGGAGGTAATTTGATTTATTTTTAAATCATGTCCAATCCAAAAATGCCACTATTTTTTACCATTACGTCAATTTTTAGCATCCATAAATAAGAATCAACTATGATAAACAACAACAACAACAACAACAACAAGCCTTTATCCCACTAGGTGGGGTCGGCTACATGGATTGCAAGACGCCATTGTGCTCTATCATTTATTAAGCTTTTAGAAATATTATTAATTAAGAGATCACGTTCAACAACTTCCAAGAGTGTTCTCTTAGGCCTTCCTCTACCTCTCTTAATCGGACTCAAAGTTATATGTTCCACTCTTCTCACTGGTGCCTCCCTTGGTCTTCTTTGTACATGCCCAAACCATCTCAACCGATTTTCTACCATTTTTTCCTCAATAGGTGCCACCCTCACTTTTTCACGTATGTGCTCATTTCGAATTTTATCTTTACGTGTATGTCCGCACATCCATCGTAACATTCTCATCTCTGCTACTCCAACTTTATGCTCTTGCTGTCCCGTTAGAGCCCAGCATTCACTACTATATAACATTGCCGGTCTGATAGCAGTACGATAAAACTTTCCTTTATGTTTATTAGGTACCTTACGGTCACAAATAACTCCTTTAGCTGTTCTCCAATTAAACCACCCAGCTTGAATTCTATGTGAAATATCTCCACTGATTTTGCCATCATTTTGGATAATGGCTCCCAAATATCTAAACTTTTCCACTTGAGGTATAATTAGTGGACAACTATGATAAACAAAGCCCATATTTATTTTTACTGATTAGAAAACAGTATATAATATACAGTACAAAGAGAATATCGAATCAGAACTTCACTAACCTCACAAGCACAGATTCTGTTTCCTGATGTCAGCTAGCAGTACGAAAATACCAAAAGAATTATAGATAATACCTTACAACACCCTCACACTGTGACATGGCTTATTTGTATTGCAAATATTGCAGTTCGTCCACTTTGCCAAATCGATATTGCCACACCTAAGATAATTGTAACACAACGACATCCATTACAAGAAGTTTACAAGAAAAAAGTAAAATCCAATCCGATATTAACATGTGTCATATAAGAAAATTCAATTGGCAACAAAATTGATAACTTGCACCCAAATGCTTTATGACAAACAAACCTGGTCAATTGCACAAGGAATCAAGCAACGGAGATTCTCTTTGCCAGAAAAAAGGTGAGGAATTGAACTGGGAAATGACGGAACAGCCTGTATGAAGAAATGAAGCTTACATAATACTTCCATGTATGATGCACAAACTTCCAAATTTTCATCAGGATCAAACAAAAAGGAATATAGAAAAGCAACTTTTCCATTTTTTTAACATGAGGGATAAATATGTTACATGCAAATTGCTTTTTGACCACATTTTCTGCCTCAACAAAGACATCCACACGCGCGCGCCCTAGTACACATTAAGTTCAGTGTTCCAGACAAATCAAGAAACATCAGATTGTGGTGGAAATTCTGCTGATATGGAAAAACTTTTACATCAAAATTAGCAAGTGGACAACTTGAAATGAAGAATACCAACAACCAGATCAAAAGGCAACACAAAGATAATTACAGCTAAACGAAACCTTTCAGAGGCTTGAAAAGACAACCACAGGAAGAAGGGGAGTAAGCATTGAACATCTATAAAGTGCAAATGGATTTCCTACACCAATGATTTTCACCTTCACACATTCTATAAAGATCAACTGACCGCAAAATTGCACTTGAGATGTCAAAAACTATAAATGATGAGAAAAGTGCAAAAGTCTTCGTTTTCATTTCAATTTCCAAGATGCTCCCAGAAGATTCAATATCATTTAAGCATTGTCAATTTTTTGGTCAAAATCAGTTACTCAATGGCAGCAAGATTCCATAATTCATATAGATTCATATCCAATGAAATTCCTAAAACCATAGGTAATATTAAATTGGATAAAACATCTTAAATTTGTGAAAGCATACTTGAAAATATATCATCAGGCCAAAGCTACATTCCTGTCTCACTCACCCGCCAACAAAATCAAAATCAGAAGAAATGAAAGTCTTGCAATATCAAAACTGTAGCAATAATATCCTTAGCATTTTCTCGTGCAACTCTTTGGCTCTCCTCTTTGCTGAGATTTTTTCACAAGAACTTCTCATCATCTGTGAGTTGTATAATAAGAGGAACCTTAAAGGCATCTTGCAAATACCTAGACACATTTTTAACAAAGTTAACACCTTCAAAAACCACAATGGTTTAATGTAATTCTTCATTTTCTTTTGTCAAAAAATTTGAACAGTACAAGCTAATTTACAAACTTCCGTTTCTCTCGCTGCCTACTTTGTGGCAGAGTCAATTGAATTATATATCTACATATTGACTGGTTTTTTCTCTTATAACTGCCGAACACAAACTCTACTTACTTTGTAAACATGAACGGAACCAGATGACCCAGATGGTAAGCTTCTGAAGATGGTAATGACACCAAGGGCTGGGATCAACTGAGCTGTGACAGGGCTTCCTTGCAAAGCATCATATGACCTGCATCGTAAATTTAAAAATAATTAATTTTAAATTCCAAAAAAGAAAAATTACGAAGATAATATATTCAAAGATAATGACACCAAAAAGAAGACACACGAAAAGAACAACAATACAATAATCCCAGTTGATACGAAGCTTTTAACAATAACGATTACAAATTCATATACTAATCAAATTAGATTCTCAGTCGAGTAACTGCCAAATTTCTACCCGTTCCTCCACCAATACTAAAGGGAAAGAGAGAAACAGTGATGCAGAAGATGAAGTTCAAGGCTACTAACAACAAGCATCACTAATGCAAGCCATTAAACAGGTAGATAAGCAGCAGGGGGCATAGAACTAAGTATGCACTAATATTGTGTGAGACACAATACTACTGACAACAGAGCGGTGTTTGGAGAGAAGAATCAAATCAAGGTAAACAAGATATCAAAGAAAGTCTACTATTAAAGACATATTTCTTTTCCAATGGAACAGATTTACATGGTTCTTTGACCAGTATAAAGCTTTGGGGAATCCCTGAATATAGCACTCATGTGCCAATTCATTCTCCACCGTTGCATCCACCTTCGCCAAAACTGTCACATTCTGAGACTTCAACTCGGTGGCGTACTCTGGCATTATTGAAGAGTTTAAGATCACCGGAGAAGTAGAGGGAGAGAGATCTGTCTGTGACTGAGAGGGGAGAGAAGTTGACTAGTAGGAACAGATCAACGCTTTCTGGCCTTTGCACGACACAGTTGATTGAGGATTTGGGGTTTTGGTCCCATGATCATGGCCGGCGGTTCTCAGCTGCTCCCTCTTCAACGTCGCTCGAACCAGTCTCTCCCAATTGTCACGAACTGTAGCCACGTTGCCTCCAGCACCTACCAAAGCAACCGATGCCCAACGTGGTTGGGCTCCGGAGAGGATACAGATAGGAGGAGGCGCCAAAGAGAGGAAAAGAAGAGAGAACGCAGTTTGAGTGTGTGTGAGTGCGTGTGTGGGTGCGCCGGCGTTTTTCCTCTTCACTTTCTAAACTGCTGCCCGGTTTCCTCTCCAAACAATCTAGATTAAATTAAACTTAATTCCCATTATTGTCAACTATTTCTAAAAATTAAATAACGATATCTTAATCAGGTCAAGCAACTACAAGAACGACGACGACGACAATAACAACGACAACATCTTAAAAGTTAAAACCATCACCTTTTTTTTTTCTTTTTGTAAATTGCAGGTCTTTCTTTTTAATTTTTAACTAGAACCAACTCTTTTGATTACTATGATATGATATTAAATAGCTATTACTTATTCTATTATTTTTTTTCAATATAAATTTTTTATTATCTTGAAATGATTTTATTTTTTTAAGTTATTATAATTTTATTGTTTCTTTGTACATTTAATTTTAATAAAATTATTTTTATTATTTTTATAAATATGTATAATTATATTTTAAAAATGTTAATATTTATTGGATATAAGTTTTGCCTCTCATTAACAAAATTTTCAAGTCCATCACTGAAAAGAAACAAGAAGATTTTAGAAAAAAATACTAATAAAATCCCTTTGAATTACATAAATGACAATATGATTTTCTTGAAATGCCATAATTCTATTGAAATTCTTAGAGACTCTTCGATAATTAATAAATGATCAAATTACCCTCATAATAATATCATGATTTTGACAAGCGAATTTGTGATTTGTTCTATTAACCGATTAATTAAATTGCCTTAGAAAATTTTATAAATGATGGATGTGAAAGCTAACGATTTTATCAACAGATTTCAAACTTAAATTAACTGGTTAATTAAACTCCTCTTCTATTTAAACTTCTTTCCAAATAAGATCCTAAATTTTCACATTAAATAAATAAATATTATTCAAAATAAAATTAAATTAGAGTTATAGAGTATACAGAAATATGAAATATCAATCATTTGAAAAATATTGTAAAAAAGGGGGGTCAAAAAATGTCAATTCACAAAATTTTGGGTTATTTGTTGTAGCCAACATTGCGTCGTTACGGCGGACCACACTGAGACTAATTTGATCTACATATTAATCAATGTTCTACACATAAACGGTGAAGGTAATTTGCTTTGAATTTCAAAATTTAAGATTCATAATACTATTCATGCAATATTTTAGAATTTATGGTGTTCATTAACAAGTGAAATATCAGCAATGCACTGTCACATCATCATTTGACTGGACCCTACAAGTAAACAGTAACAACATTATCTATAGTTAATGATGGAGTAATTTGTTTTGGATTTAGAAGTTTTGAATTTTTTTGTATATTTTAAGAGTTTATGATTTATGGTGTTTTTTGTATAATACTTAAGGCTCCAGAATATTCATTAACTCAAAAATAATAATCAATAATTAATATATATATATATATATATATATAATTAAGTAAAAAAGCCAATCTTCGCAGCTCTTTCCCATGAAAAGGAGAGCACTCGAGATATGGCTGATATAGTCTAAAGAAGATTCCTTTTGGGCTTTACTTGAGGAAGATAACACGCGCTACACTGCAATACACACAACAAACTGAAAGCGGAAATAAATATTGGACCCTCTCTTCTCAACTTGTGCATGATTCGTTTTAACCTAATACAATAGCTATTTCTCAACTGGATGTTTATTGTGATTAATTCTATTAATTTAAAAATATGGTATCTCAATTCACTTAATAAAGAACCAAGCAAAAGGAAAGACATGGTCTTACTTTTTAACCAGTAAGTTGAATTATAATTTTTCACTTGTTATTTTTTGTCATTTTTAATTTTTATATATGTTTCTCACATTCATTCTATACTTACTTCTTAAACTATAGTATTATATCACATTACTACCAATAAGAGTGTGTCTCCCAGAATGAGGACATTTGACTCGTTTGACAAATGAGTCACCATTAAGTATTTATTTAATTAATCAAGTTTTTAATCAAAAAATCGTGGCATGTTATACAATTTCATTAGTGTGTGTGTGTGTGTGGTTTTTTTTTTTTACAATGTCCACTTCAACTAAATCAGAGCAATGACTGTGATTATTGCCTGATAAAATTCATAAAGGATATCATCACCCATGCCCCTATCACATTGTCAAACAAGGTATATTAAATTTAATTGCATTTAAATTATAAGAAAAATTAATCTTTTAGTCCTTCAACTTTTAACTCCAGTCCCTCAACTATGACTTGCTACGACTCAGTCCTTCAACTATAACTTGCTGCAACTTAGTCCTTCAACTTTTGATTTACTTATAACTCGATCCTTATTTTTTAATTTTTTTTAAAAAATTTTATCAAATAAGAGGAATAAAAAATGCTCATATATTATTTTAAAATACCCTCTTCTTATTTATTAATATGAGATATAAACTAACATGAAAATAAAATTAACAAAGGTTAAGGTATTAATTTGTAAGTGATTCAAAAGTTGAGGGACTGAGTCATAGGTGAATTATAGTTGAGGGACTAAGTCACAGTGAGTCATAGTTGAGGGACTGAGTTATAAGTGACTTAAAAGTTGGAGGACTAAAAGATTAATTTTTCCTAAATTATAAATTTTAATCAACTTTAAATAGCTAGCTATTAACTTGAACTTGTTGTGATTATTTGCTCACAATACTTTGAGAATGCTTACTGTGTTCATTATACAGCTGCACATGTAGAAAAAAATTTTGAAGAGGTAGCCCAAGCCTTGTTTAATATGTGGGTAGTGGTAGTAGTTAAGCCAACCTAATAGTTAGTTAATTAGGTATATATGTTTTTCATGTTACATTTTTTTGGCCAATTTTATGCCTAAGGCCACTTAATTAGTTTTGAAAATTTAATTAGTTTGCAAATTATGGTTTACAGGGCTATAGGTATAGGAATTTAATTTATTATCCTTAAATAGTAACTTTCATAGAAACATTCATTGTATTATTTTTGGATGTTGGCCAACTGGTTTTCTTTTCTATTTTGTGTATCTTTATGTAGGAGGGCTGCTTGAAAAGCAACTTATCCTTTAAAAAAAAACACCACAAATACTTGACGGTTATTTAGATATAATATTTAAAAATAACTGTCAAGTTTTACCCCTAATACTTGATGGGTATATCTAAATGATTGTAAAGTATTTATGGCAAGAATCAGCTAAAATGAGAACTAATTTTTGCCATAATTACTTGACGGTAACTTACAAATAACCATCAAGTATTACCCCAAATACTTGACGGTTTATAACTGTCAAATAAATATAGCCCTAATATATGGTGTCATTTTACTTGACGGTTAAAAATTGATAAATACAGGCTAAAATAACCATCAAGTATAGGAGTCTTTTGTAGTAGTGTTTTTATAATGGTTTAGCTGAGACAGTTCCTCCCATGAAATCGGGAACTCATTCACGCAATATCAGGTATTCAATATGCATGGTCCACAAGATCTGTGGCATAATCTTCCTATTTGCAACGCGTTCCATCGTTAACTGTTAGCCTATGTTCTCGAGATATTTATGGATAATGGTTATGACTTTGTGAGATTTGGGGCTTGTTGAGAATATGGCTTGTTGTGAGGTGACAATTTAGCTAAAGATTTCGAGTCTTAAGAGATTCATAGACTTAAGTTGTCTTAGTCAAGTTATTCGTCATGATCTAGGCTGGCCATGTTGTTGGATCACTTACTGGACCTGACTTTTCAATTTCTCGACCTATTTTATACTATAGTCATGGTAAACAACATTTTAGTTTTAGCCCAAACAATAACATTTTACTCTACTCATAACAAAATGTGGAAAGATAAAATTAGAAAAAAAAAATGAATGATCTACCTTTTTATACAAAATAATTTATGAAAAGAACTACTCCCTCCATTTAAAAATGTAAAGCATTTTTTGATAAGTTTAATGTTTAAAAATATAAGGCATTTTTAGTCTTTCGAGGTGTATTCTTTATCTTTTTATCCAAAAAGTGTCCCTACTGATAATGACTTTATATTTATTATAGGGTGCTTAATATGAATAAATATGAAAAGATAAGGTTAGTTTAAAAGTAGGTAACTACTTTATTAGAAGTGAAATTCGGTTAAAAATGCCTTACATTTTTTAATGGAGAAAGTATCAATTATTTCTAGAAGGTAATTTATATATACCGTCAGAGGGAGCACAACACGACACACTTGTGAATTTTTTTTTGAAGAATTACAATCAGGTCCCATACAGAAAAATTAATTACTGCAAAGTCCATTAACAACTGAACTAAATTGTATTGATAACAAATATAATTAATTGGTACCTAGCAATGCTACTTGCTATTTCATACTTCAAATACTTTCACGTTTTTTAATATACGAGAATTCTAATCAATTTATATAGTCCAAGAAAATTGTTAATTTTAATAATTATGTTTGAAATTGAAATATTTGAACTAAAATACTAATGTAATTGATGCTTATTTTTTCCTCTAATTTAATTATACTATCCATTTACAAGGGACAATTTGAAAAAGAAAATGTAATTAATATTTCTTAAAATTTATAGTTTTTCTTATAATAAAAAACAAAAAATAAGATAATTTATCTTATATTTGAAAACAAAGTAGTATTATGAAATACATATTTGGGACAGGCTTCTTTTCATTACTTGAAGAGTGGTTATCTAGTTAGTGTTTTTTTTTTTTTTAATTGGGCGGTGGGTGGTTAGGACTTGACCCAATTACCATACATAGGTTAATTCATGAGGATTTTTCTCTCCCATCAAGCTAGAATGTGTTTGTGGGATATTATCATTCTCTGTCTGTATGATTAAAAGGTCATTCACAAAACTGAATTTGACCGTACGTTATGAAGCATGATACCAAGAGGAAAATACATATATAACTACTTCTGGTTCTGGATACATACACATATGTTTTATTTAGTTCACTAACATTAAAATTTAAAAATATAATTTGAGTAATTCATGAGTAACATTTGAATGTACTATCATATCGATCAGCATATAGGACAATCATGATTAAATTTACACGTCTTATATCTTTACAGATCT